CTCACACTTCTAAACTTAATCCAGAGACTCTTAGGTTTTTCTGCAGTTTCATACCAGCGCTCTGAGCAGTCATACTGCTCCCTTACATACAGTGCAACTCCTCCACCTTTTCTGCCCTGCTTGTCCTTCCTGAACAGTTTATATCCATCCATGACAGTACTCCAGTCATGTGAGTTATCCCACCAAGTCTCTGTAATTCCAATCACATCGTAATTCCTTGACTGTGCCAGGACTTCCAGTTCTCTCTGCTTGTTTCCCAGGCTTCTTGCATTTGTGTATAGGCACTTGAGATAACTCGCTGATCGTCCCTCTCTCTCAGTATGAGGCAGGAGCCCTCCCCTCTCGTGTGCTCCTGCTCGTGCTTCCTCCTGGTATCCCACTTACCTCAGGGCTTTGGTCTCCTTCCCCCATCTGATATATGGATTAGATGACTTCAAAAGTAACTGCACACTGTGACTGACAGAAGCAGCAATGGTGACAAAGTAGGTTTCTTATGTACACTCTCACCACAGTAGTCAAAAGCAATGGAAAGCTGAGTCAGTAGATAGCTCACTCCTGGCAGTTTTCTTGCACATCTGCAGCAATCATTGAAAGGAAGTAAACAGCCTCAACCAACACTTGGTTGAAAAAGGACCTTTCCTTAACCTCCCTACAGCAACTTGTTCTTTGCTTAAAAACAAAGAAGAAAAATATACACAATTTTTTTAGTATCTTGAAGTAGGCCAGAGAATGCCCTCGTTGTTATTTAACATGTTTGTGGCTTAATATAGTTAGCTAATGTTTTGCCAATTGAAAAGACTGGTAACAACATAAATTATTTAAAATTAGCTTACAAGAGAGGGCGGGAGAGAAAGACTCAGGGGAAGTGGTGTGTGTCTATGTTGGTAGGGTGGGGCAATGTTTAGTCTATTTTTGAAAGGCTTTTCCCCAAAACACAAGGTTTCCCCCAGGATGTCTTCCTCCTCCACTGAAATTGAGTGCAGAAAGTAACAAGGTTTATTTGTCTCCCTTCCCCTCATCCATTTACAACTTTACAGATCTGTTCTGTTTGCAGAATGAACTAATGGCAACAACAACCAAAACCCAACGTCACTTATAATACTCCCTTTTGCTGAACTCTTGAGAAGCAGTTTGGTCAAAACTTTGCTTGCCAAACAGTGACCAACAACTGTTCCCAGCTGCCAGCAATTACTCACTGTAAGCCTTTAAATACACTAAGCTTCTACCAGTGTTTTTCATGAAATCAACAGTGTTCTGGCTCTCTCTCACTTTTCAAAACATTTTATGTTCCAGAAAGGACAAACAAACCCCACCTCCTCCCAAAAAGGTGGAGTCAATGGCAATTGAAATCAACAGCAGTTCTGCTACTGAGGCAATACCTGCCTCACTCAGAAAAACGAAGAACTAATATCACAGCTATGTACTATTCACAGTATTTCAGAGTAAAATAATAGCTCTTATATTAAGGACTCATGAAGGATCAATGCTATAGTGCTCCTTATTGTATCAAACACATTCTAGTGGAGGATGTAAGTCAGTAGCAGTAGGATTTCATTGAACAGCCTGGCATACGCACTTTCAACATCCACAGAACACATAAATAACAAAAAGACTTAGTACTTGTAAGGTGCTTTTCCTCCTCAAAGACCTTCATAAATACCTAATCCTCATGACACCCCGAAAGGTAAGAAAATGCCTATTATCCCCAATTTTACAGATGGGGAAACTGAGGCACAGACTTGCCCAAAGAGGGAATAAATATCACAGCCAGGATTTCCTGGACTTCCTGATTCCCAGTCAGGTGCTTAATCTACCAGTCCACACCTGTGCAGCTATGGTAAGTTACAGTGTCCAGGGCTGGGGCACGGGGTTGGGGCCCTGGAGGGAGTCAGGGGTGGAGGCTCCAGGCAGCGCTTACCTCAAGCAGCTCCCGGAAGCAGCAGCATGTCCCCCGTCCAGCTCCTATGCAGAGGTGTGGCCAGGTGACTCTGCGTGCTGCCTCATCCGCAGGCGCCACCCCTGCAGCTCCCACTGGCTGTGGTTCCCAGCTAATGAGAGCTTTAGGGGCGGTACTTGGGGCGGGGGCAGCATATGGAGCCCCCTGGCTGCCCCTACACATAGGAGCTGGAGAGGGGACATACCAGCTGCTATCTGGGAGCCGTGTGGTGCGGAGGCTAGCAGGGAGCCTGCCAGCCTCACTGCATGGTGCCACCAACTGAACAGTCAACGGCCTGGTCAGACCAGTTGTTCCAGTCAAAAACCAGACACCTGGTCACCCTAAGGCAGGGATGGCCAACCTGAGCCTGAGAAAGAGCCAGAATTTACCAATGTACATGCCAAAGAGCCACAGTAATACATCAGCCCCCCCATCCACGCCCCAGCTGCCAGTGTCTCCTGGCAGCCCAACAATCAGGGCCTACTCCCTCCTTCCCCCAATCAGCTGTTTCACGTGCACAGGAGGCCATTGGGGGTGGGGGAAGTGAGGGCATGGCAGACTCAGGGGAAGGGGCAGGGGCCTTGAGGGAAGGGATGGAGTGGGGGGCAGGGCTTGGGGCAGAGTAGGGGGTTGAGCAGTGAGCACCCCCAACACACTGGAAAGTTAGCATCTATAGCTCCAGCCCCGGAATCAGTAGCTAGGTAAGGAGCTGCATATTAACCTCTGAAGAGCCGCACGCGGCTCCGAAGCCACAGGTTGGCCATCCCTGCCCTAAGGAAACTACATGCAAGCCTGGAACCAAGTGAGCTGTAGGTCACGAAAGCTTATGCTCAAATAAATTTGTTAGTCTCTAAAGTGCCACAAGTCCTCCTTTTCTTTTTGAGAAAAAGCGCTGGAATTTTGTTTTGATTAAGGAGAGGTTAAGGTTATTTTCTAGAAATGGAACTAGTCTCTCTCTCGCGTTCCACACAGAACAAGAGCATGAGAAATGTCTTCCTACTACTAATACCATACTGCTTCCCCCTTTCTCCATGAGCAGTAATAAAAGCTGTTCTGGAAATATTCAGATGAGCTTTATGACATTCTTAAGAGAAGAAATGAATAATTTTGTTAGTGGCACACCATCCAAGGTAAAGGGGAAAAAAAGGAAACCGGTTAATACCTGTTATGTCACACAAGTGGGTTGTTACACAGACAGGATAACTTCACACTAAAACATTTAGTCATTCGTTGCAAAACCACACTGATGAGCACTGCATAGCAAACATGCAACCCAGAGGGCAACTGCTTTTATATTTAATTTTGAATTACTGCCTTTTTCATTAGAGGTGAGAGAAGTGTGGTTACACTCTCTCACGGTTTCTCAAGAATCCTATGCTATTCCAGGGTCTGATCCAGCGAAAATAAAATAAATAAATAAAATGTGCAGCCTTATGAACTTCCCAAGCCGCAGATGCTGGCCCTATGGTGAGCTGACCTCTCCAAAAAAGCTCAACAGCAGGGATCTGTGGAGGAGCTCCAGGGAAGAAGAGATGATGCAAATAAAATCCCCACCTCCCAAATATTGCAGTTCCTTATGCTACATATGTTCCTCTCCTCCACTCCTTTTGAGGCAGTAGGAATTAAATAAATAAATATATTTGTTTTTAATTCAGTTATCCTTTTCCACTCGTGTTAACCAGGGGCAATGAAGGGGCTTTTGCTCCATATTGTGGGGATGAGTGAAGAGTGGACGCTTCCTGCTCCACACCTCCCCATCATCATTTGCTTGAGGTAAGAGAGAGGGAAATAAGGTGAGTTTTCAGACAGTCGCTTGTGCTTTTTCTTCCTGCTGACAGCTTCCAAACAGCAAGGCATCTTTATATGTGTCCCTTAAGAAATCTCACTATCAGTCATCTTGGACAGAGCTTTCCATGCATTTAGATGCAGTGGGCTCAGTGTTCTGACACTATCATTCCTGTGATCCCAACGGCAACCAGAACGTGGAATCTGATTGCTCTTGCCCTTGGGTGGCTATGGAATGCTTCCAAAGGTTGTTGCCAAGGAGGGAAAAACTCCCTTGAGAATAGGGAACAGTCTCAGTGATTACTTAGCACTCATTCAGAGTTGTGTGCACTGGGGATCAGTGCCATACAACAGGCATTTATAATGAACAAAGATCAAAGATCAAAGTGAGACAACTGATATTGTTAGGTTAATAAAAGAACACTCAACAGCATTGTTGTTTAAGTAGCAATTCATAAAATATCAAGTTGTACCACATTACATCAGAAGTAAACGATAAGGTGGTGATGAGAAATTGCTATTAAGACTTGTTTTTAAACTTCTAATGAGCACACTCCATGTACCTTTATTTCTGTCTTGTTCTCATGGCATTTGGTTTTTTGTGAGAAATGCAGGGGATGGAGGGAGGGGTTTCCGGCTAAATTGTCACCATGTCTTCCAAGAGTCCATAATAGTTTCCATTGTCCTATTCCTGAAAAGTAAGCTAGTCATTTACAGGCCTAAGGAAAGTATAATTGACAAGGAGAAATCCATGATGTATGATACTGTACCTTTTTCTTAACTGCCAGCAGATATTCATTTCTGCTAGAAGGCAAACTTCATATGGAACAGTTATGTAAACAAGTAAACAATAAAACAGGTAACATCACAGAAAGAAAATATATATTTACTTAAGTAACTCTGGACAGTTAGCTCAGGACTGTTTCTGAAGGATATACTTACCAAAGATGTTTACCAGGCCTAAACATAACACCTGTTTCTGGTCCTATATTGTATATTTCCTTTGTACATCTGCATCAGCCCCGTGATGAGCTTGTTCCCATACTTTGTCTTACTGCTACCAGCAGAGGTGCTGGAATAATTTTTTATAGTGGAGGTGCTGAGAGCCACTGAACCAAACTGCAACCCCTGTATGTGATGGAAACCACTTCAAACTAGGGGTGCTCTTGCACCCCCTGGTTTGTAGCACCTATGGCTACCAGTAAGGGGTTTTGTAAGACCTGTTTGACTTCATGTGAGTAATAAGAAAGAGCAAAGTGAGAGATTTGTTGCTACTTACCAAACCTCTTGTAACCAAAGGACTGCACCTCCTCCTCTTCTGCAAAGTCGTCTACAGAAAGACAGATGCACAGATTTAGTACTAAAATTAGCTATGAAGGCACAGAAGTTTGATTATACACAAAAGGTTACTGAACATTGTATTTGAAAGGTTAATTGGTTTTATCAATATTACTGCTTGCTGATATATGAAAATATCTCAAACTTTCCTCTTTCCCTATTAATCTTCCACCCAATCTTTGGCTACTGCATGATACTTGGATCCTTTTTTCTCTGAGTCACCAGCAGAAATCCAATTGATAAGTTATCATCATCTGATGGCTGTTCAGTGACTTTTATTAAATTGATTGCTGGTCTTAGTACAGATTTTAGCAGACAAATTCCTCATCACAACTGGCACTTAGTGCATCTGTGTTAGCAGTCTCAGCAAGGCAAAGGAATAAGTAGGCACAGAGACTGAACCACCTTTTAACCTGTACAGGGGAGCCCCCTCCAGGTCAGGGCAGAGGCACATTAGAAAAGTCTTTTGGGCGAGCTTACATTACTGCTTGCCTGTGCTGTGCTTTTCCTGTGAATAAAGAGAAGGCTTCAGTTGCTAGGGCTGTCAATCCATCATCTTTCATGAACACTAAATTTCCTTGAAGAGATAAACCTCATTCAGTCATGGGCAACAGAACTGACACGTTGGTCAAGTTCAAAAAGTTAGCAGAAATAAGAGTATTTAGTCCTTTTCATCTTGACTTGGGCACAGGGGGTAAGAGGTGGGTATTCAGGCCTTAGCTTGTCATTAATTTCATCTCTCTCCCCACTTCCTCCTGCCAGTAACAGCACAAAGGAAAGGATTATGACCAGCACAAACAAGCAATATCAGTACTTTAAAAAAAGAAAAGTATATAACATCTCTCCACCAATCCTGCCCTTTCTCCCACCTCCAGCATGGCCCTTCCCATTTGCAATCCTATTTTCCACTGTTCTGGAGCAGTGTTTCACCCCTTCCCACATTAACATTGGCAATGTGCTTAGACGGGGTATAAACATTCCTGCCACACCTAGGGCATCTGGAACAATTACAAATCTTCACCAAGAGCTCACCTTAAATCAGTCCCCTAGGAGGCTGACACCACTCTCTAGGCGTGCGACACACAGAGATTGCCATCACTACCAAGTATGCTAACCCCCCACCTACAGCTTTCCCAAGATAAGCCATAACAGAAAGAAGTAAACAGGAATACCGGCCAGTACCTGGACAGAAGGTTACCAGAAAGCTTCAGTCAGTCAGGTGCAATCACAAAATAGATATGTTATACAGGCCTCAAACAATCAGTGGGCCCTCAGCCTTATGAGATTCAGTGCAAAATCTGCATTCAATAGGCCATTCACCATTCAGTCTCATCGCCGATGAGTCAACCAGCCAGGTCTGCATCACAGAAATCTGGCTGGCTGACATGGTAGCCAGCTGCTACCTCACCTGGCTCTCCCATCCCCACCCGACCCAGGATATGTTATGCACTACACAGCCAAACCTAGAGAGGACAAATCTGAATATGGAGCATAGTCATTCATTTCCCATTCAGGCTCAAGATCAGGAAAAGCACACACAAATCAAAATCCTTTGAGGACATCCACTTACTCTTGCCCAGAGACAAGACTAACCGAGGCATACTACTAATTTATTAGCTCCCAAACATCAAAGGCTCCCAGGAGAGCTGATGGAGATGTTGCCTGACATGGTGATGACGTTCACTGAATTTATCACCTTGCAGGACTTTAACATTCACACAGCTGATACTCTGACAGGACAGCTCAAAATCTCCTATCCTAACTCTTCACCTTACATCACACAGCTGCCTATACCCTGAATTGGATCCTGAGTTGGATGTGTTTGTACGGAATCCAAGTACTTGCGGCAGCTTCCTAAAAGACTTTTTAAGGCAACAAGAAACCACTTCCCTAAACTCTCCTGAAGCCTGCCAAATTCCAAAATGTACACTTTGAAAACTCTACCCAACAAAGAGGCCAATCATATCATGGCAAATGCTAATAAATCAAAGTGATCACAAATCAGTCAACATTCAGCTTTCTCACAAACCCCAACAGTACTCATTCACTACACAGAGCTTTGGATAAAATACCACTCTGGTGTGCAAGAAAGAGCTGCATAACTCAGGCTTCAGTTCAAGACTGAACTCGTTTCTCTCCCCATTTCTCTATCATGGTGGACAACACAACGACATGCCCGGTAACTCAAGACTACAATCTTGACTTCATGTTTGGCTTGGCCTTCCACTTTGACCCACACAGCCAAGACATGTCTAAATCTTGCCTCTTCTTCCGAAACATCTCTAAGATCCCATCATTCCTCTCTGCCAAAGTCTTGTGCAAGCCCTGATCATCTTGCCCCTTGACTACTGTAATCTCCCCTTCTCTGGCCTCAATGCCACAACAGTGTCTCCCTCAAATCCCTTCTAAGTGCTGTTGCTAGGATCCTCATCTCTGACTCCTCACTGGGAAGAGATCTTGATAGGTGTTGAATTAGGCTCTCAGAGAACTCTTGGGGGGAAAAAACAGATGCTTAGAAGTGACAGATTAAAAGCCTCTGTTTGCCCCGGAAGGTAAAACTTAAGATAATTAATACAATGATAAATAATTTAAATAGACCGGTGTACAGGGCTGAAAATGCCACTCAGAGAGGGGACTCACTGTTTCAGATTTACTATATCTGGAATGATTAATGGAATTAAACATATTTTCTTTTTCTTTCTTTTTTAAAATAAATGAATAAATGAATAAATAAATAAATAAGGTCTCCTAGAAAGACACATGAATCAGATCGCAAAAGGACCCAGGGGTGAGGAATGTTCATACTTCCAACAGAAAAGACATTAATTTCTCTAAAGGAACTAAATGTCAAAAATATATACTTTATGTGGAAAATTGTTATTGTGCTCCTTTTATGAAATGTGGGTCAGAGGAAAGCCTAGGTGGCACATGAATGCATAACTGCCCTATTCAGGTGGAAACACATCTGTCTGCATTCCTTTCAGACCCTTTTACCACATTACTGCTGATCTGCTTATTGGTTGTAATTTTCCCATTTACCCATTGCAGTTCCAGTTGAAAGGCAAAATTTATCCCTGGTACAAATGAGCAAAATTCCATTCAACTGATATTTATTACCTACAACAAAATACGTATAGCTATGTTTGAAGTTCAGTTCTGCTCTGTGACTAAAATATGGCATTGTGGAGTTCCATGTTTACTGTCTCAATAATTTCAACATCAGATGTGTTCAGTTTACAAGTGTAAAGATAGGAGGAAGGAGTTTAGAACAGCTAATCCTGCGAACTCAGTAGGGATCTGAGAGTGAAAATAGATTTTTCCCCTTCTCACATATCAGATAAAAATATAAGAATCACCATCCTGGGTCAGACCAATGGTCCATCTGTCCCAGTATCCTGTCTTCCAACAGTGGCCAGTGCCGGATGCTTTATAGGGAATGAAAAGAACAGGGCAATTATCGAGTGATCCATCCCCTGTCATCCAGCCCCAGCTTCTGGCAGTCACAGGTTTAGGGACAACTAGAGCACGGGATTGCATCCCCGACCATCTTGGCTATTAGCCATTGATGGACCTATGCTCCATGAACTTATCTAATTCTTTTTTGAATCCATTTATACTTTTGGCCTTCACTACATCCTTTAGCAACAACTTCTAAAAGCTAACTGTGCACTATGTAAAGAAATATTCCATTTTGTTTGTTTTAAACCTACCGTCTATTAATTTCATTGGGTGATGCCTCGTTCTCGAATTATGTGAAGGAGTAAATAACACTTCCTGATTCACTTTCTCCATGCTATTCATGATTTTATAGACTTCTATCATATCTCCCCTTAGTCATCTCTTGTCTAAACTGAACAGTCCCACTCTGTTGCCCTTTTCTCTAACTTTTCCAATGCTAATCTACCTCTTTGGAGATGGGGCAACCAGAACTGCAGGCAGTATTCAAGGTGTTGGCATGCCATTGATTTATATGGTGGTATTATGATATTTTCTGACTTATCTATCCCTTTCCAAATGATTTCTAACATTCTGTTAACTTTTTTGACTGCCACTATACACTGAGCAGATGTTTTCAAAGAACTATCCAGGACACCAAGACCTTTCTCTTCAGTGGTAACTGCTAATTTACACCCCATCATTTTTGAGGCTAATTTAATTGAGCCTTCACTGATAGCTGTGCACAGATATAACCAACTGAAAGTTAGCAAACAAGTCATTTAATGATGCATAAGAAGAAACAGAACCTCTCTCCCCCTTTCTTCTGAGACTTGGCTCTGCAGTGCCAATATAAGTTAAAAGTAGTAAAAAAAAATATATTTTGTCATTAATGTAGGCAAATTCATGTCTGATTATATAAAAAGAATGGTTATGTTGAACGAGAAGATGTCATTTATATAGCTTTTCTGAGGAAAACTTACGTACAATGAAAGTGCTGAAGAATCAAATAAGTTTATGGGTGATATATGGTTAATTAGCTATGCTTGTTTGCTGAAGATCCCACCTCCTTCCCCAGAACACTAGATGGACTGTATAAGTCATTTCATTACTCATGTTTTGCCCAATAGCATTGCCAGAGATGTATTTAGATTTCTTTGGACCTCTGGCTTTTTATTTGTGCAATACAGTACACTGTGATTTATTGAAGACTACCGTTTTTCTTTGCTTGAAGGTAAAAAGACTTTATAATAATGCTCTTATTAAATCTCTTAATTATGATGCATATTCATGCTGTTTTGAAGATAAATATAGACTACAAGTACACTTCTATTGACAAATCTCTGCTTCCTTTACATTAAACTGTGGAGCAGATAATTTATTTCTTTGTGAGCAAAATTACTAATGGGCCAAATTCATCAGTCCTTACGTTTGGCCTTCCGTTATTAAAGGTGAAAATATAAACAAACTATTTTTTTTAAAAAAATTAAACAATAATTGTAGTTGTATATGTAACAATGTATTGCAATAAATTAGAGAGGAGGTTGAATTAAAGCC